GAACGGGACAAGATAGACGGGATTACCAAATACGCAAGGATTTACAAATGTTGTTGTATGAGCAATTTGCTATCATATTTAGAGTGTTATTGGCATAAATCTAGTATAAAATGGGCAGGAAAAGAGGTCATTGTGATAAATAAATGTTGTACTTTCTCCAACACCCTCTGAAATGCTTTTCCGTCACATGTATTCACATTGTGTCGGCTGCAGGAGGCAGCTGGTGCTGACACAACAGAAGTGAATTTGTTCATCCTCATTATTGGCATGTGTCCCTCCCTCTCTCCTGATCAAATCTGGGACTGAGACTGTTCAAGTGTTATAAGCCCTGTGATTAAGTAGTTAGGAGTGAGATATATTCACTGAGTTTATTTTCCAGCAGAGAAACAATCTGTTACCAGTTTTTGTTTCCTAGAAGGTGAGTGGCCAACAGAATCATCTGATTATGTGGCTCAGGGAACTCTGGTTTATTTTTATGTACTTAACCATTACCCAAACATTATTTCTTTTGTAGCACCATCTGTAAACTAAGATCTTTTAATTTGTAATTAAAGTGACTACTTGTCTTTAGGATTATAGAATACTTCAACAAACCATCATTGGTAATGGTTATGCAACTTAAGAGGTTTTTTTTTGTCCTTCAGCTTTATAGTTTGTATATTAAAAACACAAATAAAAAGAAAGATAGACAAGTTGAACTAAAGAACGGTTTCTCATGATAAAATGATTTTCTTATGACAATATTTCAATGGAGAATAAAATGACTCATGGAAACTACAGTTTAATGCGTGTCACAAAAGCAGTTTAGTAACAGCACCAATGACTGAATATGATTTCAATAACTTGTTAAATGCTTAAACCCACACGCTTCCAAATTTTGAACACTTTATCATTGAAATGCTACTTCAGTAATTCTTTTTGACAAACTTAAGTCATTTCTGGTTAAACCCCAACATATATTTTTGAAATTGTGAATAATATTGTTTTGATGATTCTATCTATGCACAGGTCTGAATAATGAATCATCATGCTTTCACTTGATTGATGCCCTGCCATCCTTATTTACTGGTGTTCATTTGACTTCTTAAATCACCTCTGATAATTTCCATTTATTTGAAATTGGAGAACATTTATGTAAATTTCTCAGCCGAAGGACAAGACCTTCTGTAATATAGCAATGTTTTAGTAATGCATCATGATCTGTGATCAGAAATCACGATGTGGGATTGAACTGCAATCTTCTGATGTAGATACGAAAGTGTAGTAATTGAAACTAAGTCAAGATGACGACGGACTATAAATAACATATTTTGATAAATATTTATACTTATTGCCATTCAAGTTATTGATCTCACTGGTAAATACAGAAAGCATGCAGAGACATGTTTAAATTTAATTAAATTGATTAAATTAGCCACACCCTTAGACACTTTGATTTCCTCCAGGATCTGAGGGTATAACCACTAGCTGTGTGGCACCAAAGCAGATTGATTCATTAAAATAGTAATTCACACTATTACTACAGCAGCTCTAAATATATAAAGCCTGTTATCTATTGTTGGTTGTCAGCTCAGCTCAGTTTCAATTGCTCCACTCTCGGATCTAGGTCAAACGTTTCACCTCAAGCCCCACTTCACGATTTGAGCTCATAGCCAGATTCAGCTCATAGTCGAGTATATTATTGGGACAACGTTGCATTGTAAGAGGTGCTGTCCCTCAGATGAAATATTTACATAAATGTTATCACAGTGAAATAGATATTAACCCAGGAGAAAGAACAATATGCTAATCTGCTGTGTCACTCAGTGACATTTAAACATATAAAAGATGTTTATGCAGAAGATTGTGCTGTACAGCAGATGATTATACATGAGTTGCATAATCCCTGTTATGGACTACCCGACTAATGAATACTGCTTTTATTATTGACTGAATTTGTCTTGGTCTCCAATATTAGTTTATTCATAAATATTGGCATTCAACCTATCCATCTCGCAGTAAGTCATGCACAAGCATGTTTAAATTGCATTGCATATGTATGAAGCCTTACATTTACCAGTTAGACACAAAGTACAGATAAATTAATTAGCAGGATTTTTTTTCTAAGTGACACAGGAAAGATAGGTGAGATAGAGTTAATTTTGTGACATGTTCTGTAAAAGCAATATTATATAGCACCTTATAACAGTCTTTCAGCCAAACACAATAGTCACCAAATAGCTTCATCCTTTATGATGACCCTAAACATTGTTTAATCAAGTGAAATAAAGTGGTAGCTGATGTTTGCTGGAGACTAGCCTTAATTAGCATATCATTAACATTCAAAAGATGGTTTTCACACAGATGATTTTATTTGTGATTGCCTGATGATCCATTTTAATCCAAATTGTGAATTCTTGAATAATCACACCAATTTCTCACACAGATTGTGTGAAAAATACATTATTTAAATATTCATCCAACTAAAATTGATACTCTCAAAATTCATGCAAATATGTCTATCAAAGAAAGGTCTGCCAGGATTGACAATCTCTGTGAAGCGGTCTTCATGGAATAATGTGAGCAGGAAACCGTATGCAGGTATTGAGATTAATAAGAAATGGTCTGCAGAGTGTAGCATCAGTGGCAAATTGTCTTTTGAGAGAGGCAATATCATGGAATAGTCTGCACAAAAAGGCAATTGATAATGATCTATAGGAGGGTTGGCATAACTACACAAGTTTCCAGGATGGATGACGTTAGTTGAGCAATGTTTTCTCATGGCATCAGAGAATGATTTAGTGTTGGTGATATGATCTGGCAATGGTTTGCAATAGATAGCATCAGTGGGCAATGGTCCGAGATCAATTGTGTGTCAATTTAATGAATCGGGGAGCATGAGAGTTGTGATCATAGTTTGGTTGTGGAGTGCAGCTACAGTTCTGGGTGCCCTAGGACTGGGGACAGTGCAATGGAGAACAATCACATTGATCCTCAGTATTAGGGATTCTTCAGCCTTGAAAAGAGATCTCTCAGAGCGACATAAAGATCCTTAACGGGGGTTGTGGAGGGTAGATTAAGTAATGCTTTCAGATATACAACAGGATCAAAGCACATCTTTATGGTTGGAAGGGAAACTAGGACAAGAGCTGAAAGTATTTCTTCGCAAAGAAGAAAGTCAACAACAGGAAGTGATTAACAGTAAGGGTGGTTGATGCCAGGGCACTGGACACATTTAGGAAACAGCTTCATACTATAATGGTAGGATGGTGTGTTTATAACAATTTTATGACTATGATTTGCATAGATTTTTTTCCTCCGAAAGAAAATATTTGTTTTAACCAAATCAAAATACTACAATGAATAACATTAAAAGAAACCTTTTCCAAAAAACTATTATTGTAAAAGCCAGCCAGGTGAGATAGCACAGTGTTGTTCCAATCCAGATGCCAGCAACCAATTACTATTTTATAATAATAATACACGCATTTGATAAAGCGCTTTTCAGGTCTTCTAGACGTCTCAAAGCGCTTCACAGAATATACTGTAAAGTGAATTGACTGTATTTTTTTGTGAGCGAAACACGGCAGCCAAATGCGCACAGCAATGCCCCCAAACAGTCGTTTTGTATTAATTAATCAGATTTTAGTTCTATATTACATAAAAACATAAGAATTTGCTAGGCAAATGAAGACCAAGGTACATCCAGTTCGCCTTCCACCATCCTGGCATGACATGTCGTGTCCCAAACTATGTATTGCATCTCGAGATATTATTTCCTAACAGAAATCTTCATTAATCAGAAATAAGCACATTCATGTGATAAAATGTATGATAAAAACATTTGCATAATGGTTGTAGAATGGCAAAGGCTGCACAATATATTTTTGGGTCTTTATTAAATGTACAACAACATTTATTGACAAGAAATATATATTTCATCTGTTCCAATTTTTATTTTTATTTTTTACCACTCTTATCAATCGCATCTCACAGGAGTTTGAAATGCTGTTGGTGTAATTGATTTACTGTAAGCTCTACTTCTTGATCAATTTGAGCCCACTGGAATTACTCTTTGATAGATTTTAGAATCTTTGAAACTGGCATGAAATTGACAAGCAAATCACCATAAAAGTAATATATCAGTTTTATACGATGTCAAGCTATGTTTTTGTTATTACTGAAAAGTATACCTAGTACACTTAAATGTAATTGGGTATGGAATTTCCCATACCCCATTGCATGAATCTATGAAGGATGTTGTTGAATATTTTAAAAAATTAATTATGAATTTTATTTGAAATGAGATGCATTTATGAAGAATGTAGCTGTTCTGAATCACAGCTTAGTTGCTGTGAAACTAACTCAGTTATAAACAACTGATGATCTCATGTGAACTCAGTTACTCTCGGTTGAAATGTTATTGATCTGGTAGAATTTTATCATTCAACAAGGACTATTTATCTTCCCCATTAAACATTTAAATGTATGCAAAAGTCTATTTTACAATAACAAAAATAAATGATGTAAAAGTTCTGACTGCATATTATCTGTAAAGCTGAAATAAAATGTCATTGGAATGTTCTGATTGCCTCTTTGAGGATACATCATTTCTTTAGTACAAAGGGAAGCAAATATTTGAATATTGTATACTTCCATATTATGTAAGGTCAGAATTTATGCTCTTTGTGTAATCTTTGAATATGCAACTAAATTAGTTTTGCAGCTGATTGTTTTTATTATTAAGATAAATTGTGTAATTCTTTAAAAACTGTGAAATTCCTATATCACCTGATGTCAATTACAGAGGTTGGATTAATTAGCGTAAGTCATGAGAGAAAAATACGCTCATTTGGCCTGAAGATAATAAGTCTAAAAATGCATCAAAGTCCCAAGCAATATGCAATTCTGCTGTATGGAAAAGATGCAAGATTTATAATTTTTACAAAAGCAGTTTTGTATTTATAGAATTGACATTTTTGCTTCATCCTCAATCATTTTGTCATTTTTGTCTTTTCCAGATGGAGATCCAGGAAGTTTTCCAAACTCCACTTCATTGTGTGTTGCTACTCACATCATTTCATCTGAGACTGTTGACTGGCATTTAATTGACATAAATACACCCCGAATTCTACTACTCAGTAGGCACATTTCCTCCTCCCATGGCCTACTTATTATTGGGGGCTTTCCTGTTGGTGGCCCAAATACATAGGGCTCATTCAGAAAATACTGAGTGGAGAGGAGCTCGGCTTCAGTCATTGATAAACCAAGATGGAACAGTTTACAATGAAACAGAAAGTCATTCAGCACAACCTTCCAGTGCGAGTCAAATGATTCCACAGTCTATCATTATTGGTGTGCGCAAAGGAGGAACCAGGGCTCTACTCGAGATGTTGGACATTCACTCTGATATTGTGGTCGCAGCCACTGAAGTCCACTTCTTCGATTGGGATGAAAACTATGAAAAGGGCTTAGAATGGTATAGAAATCTGATGCCTTTGTCTTACCCACACCAAACCACTATTGAGAAGACCCCAGGTTATTTCACATCTGCTAAGGCTCCGGAAAGGATCCACGATATGAACAGTTCTACCAAACTGCTATTAATTTTGAGAGACCCGACAGAAAGAGTGATATCAGACTATACTCAAGTGTACTACAATCGACTGGAAAGTCACAAGTCTGTCCAACCAATTGAAGAAATTGTCATTAAAAATGGAGTATTAAATACTAAATACAAGGCTGTTCAACGAAGTCTATATGACTTTCATATGAGTAACTGGCTAAAATACTTCCCACTGGATCAAATACATATAGTAGATGGGGATACCCTGATAAGGAACCCGCTGCCAGAATTACGGAAAGTTGAAACATTTCTTAAGCTTCCTCCTAGGATAATGGCTTCAAATTTTTATTTTAATCATACCAAGGGTTTCTATTGTCTTCGAAATGATGGTAGAGAGAGATGTTTACATGAATCCAAGGGACGGCCCCACCCAGTTGTGAATAGTACAGTACTGGCAGAATTGCGTGCTTACTTTAGAGAGCACAATGAGAGATTTTTCAGCATGGTCAAAAAATCCTTCAATTGGCATTAAAACTTTACATACATTCCACATGCTTTATTTGTTTTGCTGGGTCAGCAAATATTAAATCAATTAATGCCACGTTTGTTATTTTATTGAATTTTATGATCACTTTTTTAAACTCAAAATGACTCCCAGCAGAACAGTTATTTAATTCCAGAGTTATGTTTGCAGACAGTAAACCCAGCAGTACAAGCTTATGAGAGATAAGAAATCTAGCATGGTTCAGTCCAAAAATTCTATAAATATATTCAGCGATAAATTATTCATTCCTGGCTAGAAGCAGGAGGCCAACATAAACACCGGGTGTCAAACATACTGGCACTGCTGGTTTATCAATATTATTTTCATGGTATAAATTTGGATCAGAACTGTGGACACCAATTCCTCTCTGTTTAGGTGGTTAGTACCTGTAGTTGTTCTGATGGTTGTTGCTTGCCTACCAGGTGATCTATTTGTAATTTAAATATGTAAATTACTATTGCCAGTTCCTCCTGGTTCTGCATGTTCACAAATGCATGTTATTGTTTCTCATTAAATATTCAAATGTGATTCTTTAACACAAATGGACTGTATATTTCAATGTTTTGGGCACCGATAAAATATTGTAAACTGTTAGATAAAAGAAATGCTTATTTGTGATATTATTATTGACGTAAATGAACATTAATACAGAATATTTACCCTGTTCTCTGCTATTCATGTGCTATTTATAGAAATTAAATATGATATTTTTTTAAACATGCCTTCTATTGTTTGAAAAGTATTTTACAGATCTACTTCTTAATCCAACTGTTCACAGCACAAATGCAGAGGGAATGTGTACAGTATCAGAATGTTCTACATTTAACATTAGGGTACATATTGAAGAAAAGTAGAGTAGATAAGTGAGAACAGGAATTGTGTAATCTACTACCTCAAAAGCCACATAATGTAACAGCTATCAAAACATTTTATGAAGAGCAAATCAAATGAGGATATATATATATTCGGGTCTGCCATGTTGCTTTCACATTTCTGTACTTTCATATTGTATAGACCTTCAAAAATAACCTCTACTTTAGTAGATTTGCTCTCTTTATAAAAAAAAGCTATAACTATGTTTTCCTCAATATTCCATAATTCATGATAGATCATATTTTTATGCATCTGATTATTTTCATGTTATTGTTTATAGTTTGTATTGATCTCTAACATACCATGTGAGGTGAATGTGCTATTCATGTAGAACATTTTGTAATGCTATTTAGTTCCAATTGATTTTCACATTTGGTTTGAATCATTTATTTAAGTGTTGTAAAATCGTGTTTAGTGCACAGGCACAATGTTTGATAAAGACTGGAGAGTTTGACCTCATTTCATATGCTTGTTCACTTTTCAAAAACAAATCCTGTACAATGATGAAATGGATACTGGATTTACCAAGCAAGCATTCCAATCAATGCTTTCTAATCAGTCAAAATATTCTCACACTTTAAGGTCAGACTATGTTTTAGTTCAGAGCATATTTCTAATGACAAATATGATTGTTAACCTACATTATGCCGTTATAAGAATTTGGCCCACTTTTTAAAAATGTTCAAGATTGAAATTCACTACAGGTAAATTCATAATTACATTTGCATGATTACAAATGACAGCTTTATTCAATCATGGTTAAACAAAATTAGTATCTCAAGGGAAGTTAACAGTCACACAGTAAAGTTTAGGTTTAAATATATTATAGGAAATGAAACATGCTTTGCTTACTAGGTAAATAAAAGCTCTGAAACATCAAATGCTCGTGAGAACCATTTTACTATCTCAAAACAAATTGGATTACTCATCAATGGCAAATTTTTAGAGTGAGGTACCTGCAGCAGTAATATTTACTTTTGTAGGCATGCTACACCAACATGGAAGTAAGTTTCCTTTTGTTTGTTGCTGGATTTACTCCAGGTTTTAAGATATTTGTCTAGCATATTCCCAATGCTATCTTTAAGAACCGCATTGCTGTCTTCCATCTCACACTTCCTCACTTACAAGAGAGAGAGCATTTTGGCCACAAGATTACAACCATTCTCAAAGCTTTTCACTTTTGACAAATATCTTACCTACACCGCGACTGATTCTTTGACTTTTTTTATTCTATTGGGATACATAATCTTCAGTTTCACATAAACTTCAGTGTTCTTAAATACTCCATTCCAAATCACCATTATTTATGATTGAGTCTTGACAATGCATGTTGGCAAGGATTTGACAGTAGAGGGCAACACAGTCAAGACCAAACAGATCCTCACCAGATGCCCACGCTCTTGCACATCCAGGAGCTGAATAATGATTAGGAGCAGGAACCGAGAAGCAGGAGTTTTCCCTCCCCATCTGGCTGAGCTCAATTATAGCAATCATTTACAGAAATCAGCTTCAGGCTGTGATGGGAAGAGGGTTGGGTGGGTTTTCTGGAAACATGAAATTAACAACAACAACTTGAATTTATATAGTGCCCTTCACACTAGACGGCATGTCGGAGTGCTTATCAAATGGGCTGAAGAGCCGTCTTCATCTGAACGTCTTGTGAGAATTCCTTATGACATCTCAAATGAGATCAACTAACTAAGTATAGATTGGGGATTGGACCTTTGACTCACCGGTATATATGGTGATTTATAATTTATAGTGATTAATACTATTTATTAAGTAAACTTGCTAAGTCATCAGGGTAACAACACCGCAGTCAATGTTACTCCATAATCAGTCGAGAAAAGGTTTGCTTCATGTGATTAAGGTTTTCTTGGCTATTAAAATAACAGGACACAGAAGATATAATGATTTCTAATGTCATTTGGGTTTTCTATGTCTGGTGATTGTACTGTAAATCCAACACAGGATCAGCAAATATTTAAAGTATATGAAAATGGATTCTTGACATGAAATTTTATTTGACTGCTATTATCTGGCAGTAAGAACGTAAAGCACAATCTGAATTATCTAGAGATTTGGGACATCCACTAAGGAGCCAATCTTAAATAGAACGCCTGTAATGAGGTGTGTTGTGTATTGTAACAGAATAACCAGCTAGTACTGTACTTATTTGCATTTATTCTAATTGCTCAGCTTTCCAATTTAAGGAACACCTGGAATTTCACAATCTGGCTCAATTTTTAATATCCAAACCATGTTGATGTACAAGTTAAAACACCAAATGTTGAAATAAACTATTTCAATGTTTAATCTAAAGACTCAACTTAAGCCAATTGCATACAGCAGTGTCTCACAAAGTTGTTGATTGAGTGGCCCCTTTATTTTAGGGATATTACCCCCGGAAAGAGATCCACCAAGTGGGTTCCTACTATGATTCATGGTACAATTCTGAGGACTTTTACTTAACTGAATAGTAAATAAATAACAGGTTTTGACTGTATTGTGCAGTTTTACAAGGTTATGCATAATAAACAGCTCTAAAATTCCCATTTGGGCAATTCTTTGCAGGGAAGTATTTTTTTCTAGGCATGTATTTTTATTAAATTGCCCTTAACACATCTAGTTTATTTCCTAGGCCCACTAAATATTTATTTGCGTACTATGATATACTGCGACACATGGTTATTCACCATGAGCACAATGTAAGCAGACAGTTGTGAGCACCACCGTCTGACTACAACTAAGCACGACAATGCTCTGGAGTTACTGGTTAGACAAAGCAAAATGATTAATTCATGTGTTAGCGAAAGGAACAATGCAAGTACTGGATGGATAAATTAGTAGCAGCATAGATTGCTTCAAGCAGCTGAATTTATTCCATTCCAGCTGAATGCAAGTGGGTTGTTATTGGGTAAATACCAAACATTCTTATCGTGGTTTGAACTTGATCAGGCCAAAAGTATCACACTGTAATTCGGCTTTGAAGGCTGCTAGGCACTTACTGGTTTAAAAGCTTTTTCTAAGAAAACAATTCTCACTTTTTGAATGTTCCCCAAAATAATAAATAGCTATAACATACATATAGGTCAAAAAAAGTATTTTTTTCTCTAACCTTTTGATACTGCACTATTAACATTTCTATTCACGTTTTCATGTTCGCATTTCTTATAACTTCCATTTAATCCTCAGATACCAATCTTCAAAATATCAACAATAAAGATTCCTTGAAGACCAAGTGCGGGCTTAGGTTTCCAATATTGTAATTGCATTCCCAACATGCTGGTTTTGAAAAAGGAAAGAATCAATCATACATGGAAACAGTACATTAACAGTGAAGATGGTGATAATTTGATATTGGAATACAGATGTTCAAGTGTTATAAATCCATTAGTATTCCGGAACTGAATGAACTACTGTGGGGATTTAGAAATCAAATCTGTACAAATAGAGTTCATTTCATTCCTTAGAGAAAGTCACACCACGACTATTCCCTTATAGGAAAAGAATTGGGTAGCTACCGTGCTTTCCTTTAACACTGCCAAATTCATCCCTAGAAATAAATGCCATGATGCTTGACGACACCTCCAGCTGTGAACAAATTAAACAGCAAGTTGCAATCTAACGACCTTCTGTCAGGATTATACATCATATAGAAAAAGATTGCAGGAAAAGATATCAGAATAAATCCTTGCAAAGCTTAATTACGTTGACACAAACGAGGATGAAAGATTATTTGTCTGAGAAATGCGTTTAAATATCATTCAAGAGAGAAAGTAGTATCATAATATCATACTGGGAACAGTTATCAAATACATTCAATAAAGTACAGGATGATGATCATAATCTCAAAGTAAGATTATTTTTAAAAATGGAGTTATAATAGTCTTTATCATAATCTTATTTATCTCCTTATTTATTCTGCATTTTAAAATGTTTTATTTGAATATAACCCAAACTTAGATTCTTATATTCATTATACAAAACATAAAAGTGATTCATGTGTTTCATACAGACCATTTTGAATGCAGTTATATGGATAACAAAAGATAAATTGTTGTTTTCTTCAATAGACTTATCTGGGTGGCATTATTGATCTAAAATTAAATTATCTTTCCTGCTATCTTCAACATTTTAACAGCAGATTTCCCTTTAACATTACCAGAATGTAAGCAAGTTGTATTATCTTGTAACTTTCAAGATGATGGTCTTTTTTAATCCTTAACCAAATCTAAATTAACATAATAAATCTTTAACTGGAACAGCAATTGTATTTTTCTCCTATGACACAGCGAGTCACAGTTTATGAAGACTAACACAGTGTATATAAACATTACAATTTTCAATGAGTAAAGATAATTTTAATGGTAGTTTCCAAACTGCACAAACCAATGGCTTGAGGAATAAAAGATGCACAATGCAACTTATAAATCATTGGGTATAATTTAAGGTCTTAAATGCATAATGCACTCAGTGAACAAGGATTTTCCAATGGTGGTTCAAAATATAATGCACATATCTGTGACTTACATAATACACTTTTAAATTATGAGGTAGAATTTCAAGGTATAAAGACACAATACACTGTACAATAAATGAAAACATTACCATGGGAAAACTCTATTTATCTAATTACCCATGAAAATCACTAAAAGATACAGCTTATTTTCCATAATTCTTCAGGCTGAAATGCAGGAACATTTACATAAACATTTTACAGTAGCTTTGGCTTCCTCTGGCCTCATTCTGTCAACACATCACACGGCTTTCTGGTAGCATGCCGAGATATG